CTGAGGCACGGTGTCTGCGCAGCCGGAAGCCAGGGCTTCCTGTGCGAGTAGACAGCCGCCTGTTCCCTGGAAGCGGTGAGATCCCGAGCGCCTCCCTCCCCGGCCGCCCGCCCGCCCGCAGCCCCCGGGCCCCCAGGCCGGGAAGGATACAGGTCTCGATGTTGGCGCCCACGATGTACCCGGCGACGTCAAAGTTGATGCGGATGAACTTGCCCTGGGAGGTAAGCGCGTGGGGGCTTAGCTGAGGGTCTGAAGAGCAGCCCTCACGCACACTCACCCCTCCCAGAGCCAGGCCTGCCTCCTGTCTTTCTCTCTCCCTGCACCTGAACCCCGCCCCAATCACGGGGTCTCAGTGGGGGCTCCCTGGGGAATCCAAGGTCCAGGCCCCTTTGACTTCTTTCCTCGGGACCCAGGCCCCCAGCGCCCCCAGTACCCCGCCCTCAGCGACTCACACACCCTACCTCCCTCCCTCCACCCCGCTCCCCTCCCCCCCCCTTCATGCCCAGCTGCTGTTTGGAGCCAGGCATCCAGGCAGCGCGCTCCCTGCACTCACAAATCGGGAGGAGTTGTCATTCTTCACCGTCTTGGCGTTGCCGAAGGCCTCCAGGATCGGGTTGGCCTGAAGAAGCTGCCGCTCCAGCTCACCCTGGGAAGGGGGGCACCTCAGTGAGAAGGGGGCAGGAGATAGGGGTCTGTGCTACAGTTGACTGAACGTGGCGGGGGGCGCCTTTTGTGTGTCTGGGTGTATGCCCACCTCCCTGCATCCAGGTGGTGCTGTCAGTCTACGGTGAAGGGAACTAGCAAACATCTCCAAGACATATTGTCGAGTGGGAACAAAGCAAACAAAACAAAACCAAACTCTGCAGGACAGTACCTACAATGTAATCCCACTGATAAATAAAAAACAAATTGAGCCCTAGCTGGTTCGGCTCAGTGGATAGAGCGTCGGCCTGTGGACTAAAGGGTCCCAGGTTCGATTCCAGCCAAGGACACGTGCCTGGGTTGCCGGCTCGATCCCCCCAAGTAGGGGGGGGGCAGACAGGAGGCAGCCAATGAATGATTCTCTCTCATCATTGATGTTTCTATCTCTCTATTCCTCTCCCTTCCTCTCTGAAATCAATAAAATAAAAAAAGAATAAATAAATAAGTCGAGGGGAAAAAAACCCACCCAAGACTCCCGATTCTACAGGTATATATATATGTTTGTAAACATTTAGAGAAAGGTCTGCAAGGATACACACCAAACTGTCAACACTGTAAGCCACTCCAAGGAAGGGGCGCTGAGAGGAAGAAAGGAATTCCACTTGATCTGATTTTGCTGTTACAGGGAATATGTACGCATGCATTACTTGTGAAATGATTGAGGGAAAATCTGTACCATCTGTACATAAAGTGCCTCCAACTGGCACATTGTAGGCATTCAAGAAACGGCAGTTTCCTTCTCTGTGGGTGGGGAATATGACTCTGAACTTCCCCACAGCCATCTTGGTGTCAGAGCCAGGAACATAGTAGGTGCTCAATAAAAGGCAATTTTCTTTTCCTCCTTCCTAGCCAGGCTCTCTAGGGCATGGACTATTTCTTTAATTTCCTTGAGAGCCCTCAGAGACCAGCCTGAGCCAAGGGCCTGTAATACATGGCAGTGTGTGTCTCTGGGTTGTGTGAATTCATGGTGTCTATGGGCCCTATCTACAAACATTTAGCAGATCAGCAATAAATGGTACTTTTGGTCTCTGAGTTATTTCATGTTGATATTTGTGGCCAGTCTGCAAACACCGTAGAGCTAATATAAGTAGCCATTCAGACTGGGTCTGTACACACACAGTAGGACCACACTAAATGACAGCATGGGCCCTAGGTGTGTGTACACAGTGGGGGCGGGGGGCTGTGTGTACATAGCAGGGTTGCATTAAGTGGCAGTGCAGGGCTTGGTGTGCACCTAGTAGGACCACCATAAGCAGCAGTGTGACTCCCTGGCAGGTATAACCATCAATGCCTTGGGCCCTGTCTGTCAGGAAGACTGTAGTTTGGGGTGACCTGGGGTGGCATTAGGACTCGAGGTGATTCCCTGCTACTCACATAAGACATGGTGCCGGTGGAGGCCTGAGGAAGTCACGGGACACGAGACACGGACCGGGACATGGATCAGGACGCGGTACATGAAACGTGGACAGACACACAAGTGAGCTGGTGGTCTCGGGCAGTGGGCAGGGCAGGAGAGCGACAAGGGGAAACTGGGCGTGTGGAGCCGGGTGGCCTGGGGGGACCACATGCCTGGGTCTGAATCCACTCTAGCCCTTGCTGGGTGTGTGACCTCCGAAAGCGACTCCCCCAGCACCTTCCTTCGGTTTCTCATTTTGACACAGGGAAACAACACCCCACCCACGTCCTTGGAGCGTTAAATTAATGTGAGCACAGGGACAAGCGCTATATAAATGCCCACTTATAAAGCCAACAAGGGCACTGCAGGTATCTAAATTAGGCCTGACACATAGTAGGTGCTCAGGAATGTAAGCACCTACTATGTGCCTGATACTGTTCCAAAGGCCAACAACTGGCCCTTGCATTTCTTTTCCACCTGCCACGGCTCCCAGCAATCTATTAGGCACACAGTAGGTGCTCAAGCAGCATGGGAAGCCAGGAGAAGACCCACAACTATGGCCCCCCTGAGGAAGATAGGGAATTATGGGGGAAGCCAAGCCTGAGATGGAGGGGGCACTGCAGGTGGCAGGCTCTAGAGCAGGTCACTTACCGGTACACCCGGCTCCTTCCTGCCCTTCGGCGATGATGCCACGTGGGCGAGGTACTGGATGACCTTCTTGGTGTTTTCTGTCTTCCCGGCTCCGGACTCCCCACTGTGGGGGGGAACAAGGGGAAGCAAGAGGGGTCAGCAATGATTCCACTCCAAGGAGAGCCACACCCAGCTGGGACCACCTCACCAGGAAGCCCTCAGGACTACTCACGTGCAGAGAATGGACTGATCCTCACGATCTGTAGGGGAGAGAGGAGAACATGTCACTTGGGAGGGTCTCTCCTGCAGGACCCCGGCCCCTTATGCTGGCCACTCCCTATTCAAAATAATTCCTGGAGGATAAGGGAAGGCTTGGGTTTTGATGTGTGACACCCTGGATTCTTTTTTTTTTTTTTTTAATATATTTTATTGATTTTTTACAGAGAGGAAGGGAGAGAGATAAAGAGTCAGAAACATCGATCAGCTGCCTCCTGCACATCTCCTACTGGGGATGTGCCCGCAACCCAGGTACATGCCCTTGACCGGAATCGAACCTGGGACCTTTTAGTCCGCAGGCCGACGCTCTATCCACTGAGCCAAACCGGTTTCGGCGACACCCTGGATTCTAATACCACACCCAACTCTTGCTTTCTGTGTGTCCCTGGAAAAGCAGCTGTCCCTCTCTGAGCCTCAGTTTTCTCACCTGAGGAGACAACAAACTCCAACTGAATAGCATGTCATTCATCAAACATCAATTTGAGCCCCTACCCTGTGCCATGTGAGACCCAAAGACATGAGAGGGGGATCCTGGACCCCAGGGAGGCAAGAGTCGGGGACCGTGGGTTCAAATCCTACCTCAGCCACCAGTGGGGGCAAGGACTGTGCCTCAGTTTCCCCACCTGGAAGCCAGGGAGATGAGCTCCCCTGCTTCATGGGGTTGCTATGAGGTTAAACGTGCTAATCCACGAAAAGTGCTTGGCGCGAAGTAGGCACTCACCCTTACTTTATTGTACATTTATCCCTAAGGGATAATAGTGAGTGGGATATAATAAGAGCTGAAAATTATACAAATAAATGTATAACACATTAGACTATGGAAACAAGTAAGTGTCACCAAGGATGAAGGATAAATGTATAATGTGAATATAAAAACGTGACATCTAAACACGTTCGACTGCATGAAATAGGCGCATTATAGATCGTCCATTACACCCGCGCGCCAGCTTCAGGGTCTGCAGAAGGAGCCTGGGGGTCTCATTAAACACTGTCTGCTGAGCCCCGCCCCCCAGAGTCTGACTCAGCAGGTGCTGCTGCTGCTGCTGCTGGTGACACGGCACGCTCAGAGCCGCTGCATGCTACGACATAAATATATCATTATAATAAAAGCCCAGCGACCAAAACGGCGTAACGACCAGAACGACCGCTTGACCAGTCACTATGAGGTGCACTGACCACCTCTCGGTCCCTCCCCCTGGCTCCCTCAGCCCACAGGCTCCGACTGCCGGATGGCGAACAGGGCACCGGGTTGGGTGGTGGTGGGGCGGGACTGGAGACTGGTGAGAGGGCAGAAGATGGCCCTGATCGCAGGCTAGGTCTAGGGACCCTACCTGCGCACGATTTTGTGTGCTGGGCCTCTAGTATCATTATAATACACCCTAGAGACATAGCGTTTATTAAATGATGTAAGTATAATATATACAATATACATATACTGCTGCATACTCTTATATGTCATATGACTGAAAGGTATACATTTTAAAATATTTAATATGTATCTTAATACGTACAAAATATTTATTAAAATACTGGTAGACGATAGCGCTGGCTGGTGTTGCTCAATGGTTAGAGCGTCAGCCCACGCACCAAAGCGTTGTAGGTTCGATTCCTGGTCAAGGCCATGTGTCTGGGTTACAGGTTTGATCCTGGCCCTGGTCAGGGTGCATGGGAAGCACCAATCAATGTGCCTCTCTCACATCAATGTTTCTCTCTCTCTCTCTCCCTCCCTCCCTCCCTTCCACTCTCTCTCTCAAAAATCAATGGAAAAAGTATCCTCGGGTGAGGATTAACAATAAATAAAATAAAATAGGTGATGTATAGTCAATAAGTAATGAGCACATTGTGTGTGGGCCGTGTAGTTTTGCCAGGACTGATGCACACTGTCGTGGCACGAAAGGCGGCCCCTTTAACAGACACCCCTGTGCAGTGCACAACCGGCCCAGCGGTACGGCAACCCCATCTGCCCATCACGTAAGGGTCTGCTCTCCACCATGTCCATGCAGATCCCACCAGCAACAGAGACGGTGAGCGGATGAGCGCTCTAAGAATCACTGTCTCGAGAGAGATTTTGGCAGAACCCTGGCCCACGGGACTCAGAGCCCTGCCCACCGCTGTGTCTCCTCCTGCCCCACAAGAAGCTGCACAGAGTCTGCGATCCCGAGCCCCCCACCCCCCCCACACACACACTCACCCTGGAGCATGCTGCGGTAGGCCCCCTCGGTCACCGCGTACACGTGGGGCGGCACTTCGTGGCGCTTCTTGCCGCGGTACATCTCCACAATCGCCTCCGTGTAGATGGGGAGCTGCTTGTACGGGTTGATGACCACACAGAACAGGCCCGAGTACGTCTGCAGCGGACGAGAAGGAAGAGGCTCAGCTCCTGCCAGCGGCCCGGCCGGGGGGCGGGAGGGGGGGGGCGGGGCAGCGCGGGGCTGCCACGGACAGCCGGGTGGGCGGGCTGCACACTGCACAACGACATCCGTCAAAGGGGCTGCCGTTCACAGTGACAATGTCAAATTTTTTTAAATATATTTTATTGATTTTTTTACAGAGAGGAAGGGAGAGGGATAGAGAGTTAGAAATATCAATGGGAGGGAAACATCGATCAGCTGCCTCCTGCATACGCACTACTGGGATGTGCCCGCAACCAAGGTACATGCCCTTGACTGGAATCAAACCTGGGACCCTTCAGTCCGCAGGCTGACGCTCTATCCACTGAGCCAAACCAGCCAGGGCAATGTCAAATTTTTTAAAAATATTTTTTATTGATTTATTAATTTTTTTGAGAGAGAGAAGGAAGGAGAGGGAGAGAGAGATAGGAACATCAATGAGAGAACCATCCATCGGCTGCCTCCTGCACACCCCTGACTGAGGACCGAGCCCACCACCCTGGCATGTGCCCTGACGGGGAATCGAACCAGTGACCTCTGGGTGCATGAGCTGATGCTCAACTACCGAGCCACACCCGCGGGGCAATGTCGGCTTTGAGCATCTGTTACAAACATCGTCAGGCGGCTGGTGGGAAAGAATCTTTCCAAATTGCACGGAGGGGCTGCATGGGCAAGGATTCACCCTGAGAGAGAAGGTGGACTTTGCAGCCGGCCAGCCGTGGGTCACAGCCTGTCGCTGCCCGGACTCACACGCCTGAGAGGGCCCCGTGCAAACTCCTCTGCGGCAGCATTCTTCACACGGCAACGACCTGGGTACGTGTCCGTACATGGTTCTATGACGCTCTCAGCGAACGGGGATGGAGTGATCTCGGAAACATTATCAAGGGACAGGAAACCAGGCGGGAGTGTTAGCATGGCACGGGCACGGGGCGGGGGGGGTGGGGGGGAGGCGCGGGGAACAGGATGTTTTTGTGTATGTGCCTGAATACACATATATCTGGGGAAGGGTGATCACAATCTCGGCCGTGACTGAAACGTATTCTGTGGTTTCTATTAATACAGACTCATGGGTCTTGCTTACACGAATTCGATTATATAACCAAATAAGTGTTACCTATGATTAAATGCAAATTTATAACGTGAACATAAAAACGTGACCTCTCAGTATGTGGCTGCCTAGCCCGGCCAGCGAGGCTCAGTGGTTAAGCATCGACCTATGAACCAGGAGGTCACGGTTCAATTCCCGGTCAGGGCACAAGCAGGGGTTGCAGACTCGATTCCCAAGGTAGGGCGTGCAGGAGGCAGCCGATCAATGATTCTCTCTCATTGATGTTTCTCTCTCTCCCTCTCCCTTCCTCTCTGAAATCAATAAAAAAAATATTTTTAAAAATAATAAGTATGTTGCTGCATAAAACAGGTATAGTGTAGATCAGCCGTGGGCAAACTACGGCCCGCGGGCCGGATCCGGCCCGTTTGAAATGAATAAAACTAAAAAAAAAAAAAAGACCGTACCCTTTTATGTAATGATGTTTACTTTGAATTTATATTAGTTCACACAAACACTCGATCCATGCTATTGTACCGGCCCTCCGGTTCAGTTTAAGAACCCATTGTGGCCCTCGAGTCAAAAAGTTTGCCCACCCCTGGCATAGATTGTCTATTATACTCAAATTTGGGTCCACTCTTATTGGAGGAAATGCTATAGTTCAGGATCCAGGTGCATGGAAATATGTAATTTTTTTTATTTTTTGGCATTCACATCCACAGACTTCCTGAATCCGTGCGCACACCCATTGGGCCTGGATTCGGGACCCTGGGGCGGTTTGAGAACTGCTCCACCTCACTCCGGGCACCGGGTAGACAACAGGCACTCAGGACCGATAGAGGTAGTTAGACAACGAGAGAGCTAGCTGGTTACCTGGCTACACCAACCCCGAGAGCTAACTAGCTGAGCTAGCCAGGAAATTAGCTGCTTAGTGGCTTAGCTAGTTAACTACTAAACCAGTTAGCCACTTAGCCAGCTAAGCAGCTAGTTAGCTGGCTGGCCGGTTACTTAGTTGGTTAGTAACAGGGCTGCTTTCAACTCCCTGACAGCTTGTGTTTCTCCAGCAGCGCAGGGTGTGGCCACCACAAGCTGCCCGGCTCCCAGGTGCCAGGCTTTTCACGGGCGGAGGGTGGGTGGCCAGCCGGGAGCAGAGCAACCGGTTTGCTGGGTGCTCGGGGAGCTCCGGGCTCCTCTCCGAGGGCGGGGCGGCCGGACCACATTCCCTGGGAGGGTATCTCATGGCTGCTGGCGCCCCGGCCCCCACTCCTGGCTGGCGGACGAACCCACTCCCCATGCCACCCTCCCACCCCAGCCCCATCCTGCCAGCCACACCTTGTCGCCCGGGTGACACCTCAACAGGAACCTGAGCCAGCTGCCAAGGCCAGGGCCAAAGGGCAGAGGCTGCTGCACCCAGAGAGCACGAGGGGAAAGCTGTCCGGACGGGTCTGGAGTGGCTGTCCCAGCACCGGGGGCCCTGAAGGCAGCCCCGTGGGGCCCAACTCCCGCCTCCACCTCTTCTCAGCCCAAGACTCTCCCCAGTCTCGGTTTCCTCCTTGAGAAACCGGGGGTGACACTCCCCACTTCATTACAGAGTCTGCAGGGATTAAGGGAGATAATGAATAAAAACCAGCCGGCCCAAGGCGGGGCCCATTAAGGCACTCACACTATTACCCTGGGACGCTCTTACCCATCCACCTGGGAGCTAGGCGCTCGCTCGGCCCCGGGGGTGTCTAGCTGTGTGACTTCACACAAGGGGTGTGCCCTCGCTGAGCCTCAGTCTCCACTCCTGGAAAATGGGGCTTTTCACACCACCACCTCGAAGGACTCTAAAAGTAAAGGCCCAGCCCTAGCTGGTGTGGCTCAGTGGATAAAGCACCGGCCTGCGGACTGAAGGGTCCCAGGTTCCATTCCGGTCAAGGTTGCGGGCTGGATCCCCGGTAGGGGGCGTGCAGGAGGCAGCCGATCCATGATTCTCTCTCATCATTGATGTTTCTATCTCTTCCTCCCTCTCCCTTCCTCTCTGAAATTCATAAAAATATATTAAATAAATACATACATAAATGAACATAAAAGTGACGGCCCACAATGCACCTCCCGGTCCCACAGAGCAGGGAGCACCAGGAGTGTTCAACAGACCGGTGCCCTCCCTGCCCCAAGCGTCCCAGTCAAGGACGGTGACCCTGAGTGACTCTTAGAGGCAGAAACCGGATTTCTGGGGCCCCAGAAGCCCTACTTTCCACCGGGAAACACTACCTCCCCATCACCAGTGGCCTGTCAGCAGATATGTATTAAGCACGGCCTGGGCTTAACAAGCAGGTCACAGCTTGCACTGCACTTCTTTTTTTTTAATTTAAAAAAAATGTTTTTTAATTGATTTCAGAGAGGAAAGAAGAGGGAGAGAGAGAGATAGAAACATGAACGATGAAAGAGAATCATGGATCAGCTCTTCCTGCACGCCCCACACGGGGGATCGAGCCTGCAACCCGGGCATGTGCCCTGACTGGGAATCGAACCGTGACCTCCTGGTTCATAGGTGAACGCTCAACCACTGAGCCATGCTGGCCGGGCACACCGCACTGCTGACATCCAGCTAACATCCACCTTGCCCTTGTTGAGTCTCATTTTCTCCTCAAATGGGGCCGGGAACAGTGCTCCCATATAGGGATGCTGGGAGCCACCCACAAATTCATGTTGCACGTACAGAGCCGAGCATGGGCCCCGGAACACCAAATGTGCATGATACGTTAGCTGTTAACTTCTGCTGGGCCAATGGCTTCTCCTCTCCAAGCTGTAGGAGAAGGAGGGAGAATCCCTACCTCACAGCCTTATGTAGAGAGGGGTCAACAAGAGCAGATGGGAAGGAAGTTTACAATAGCACCCAATGGGAAACCAGGCGCTCACGAAGTACGAGTGATACGATTAAGGCCCAACTCACTTCCCATCTGGGCTTCTAGAACCTTTCGTTTCACTTCCACTGGTCGGGTCCCAGCTCTCTGGTTCCTGGGCCACAATCTCAGCTCAGGCCTCACCATTTGTTTTCCTCTGAACTTTCCCAATGGTCTTCCTACTGCAGTAGACAGGACGTGGTGTTTGGAGTCAGATGACCTGGGTTCAAGTCCCAGTTTATCCCGTTACTAGCTCTGGGGCTTTGTCCACGTCCTGGCCCCTCTCTAAGGCTCAATTTCCCCACCGGAAGAATGGGGGTGATAGCAGATACCTTACCAGGCTACTGAGAGAGTTCAGAGTATTTATTAAGAGGCAAAGGTGGCCCAGGCCGGTGCCTCTAAGTGGTTAGAACGTTGGCCTGAGCACCGAAGGGTCTAGGGTCCAATTCCCGGTCAGGGGTATGTACCTGGGTTGCAGGTTAGATCCCCGGCCCTGGTCTGGCATGTGCAGGAGGCAACCAATCGCAATGTGTCTCTCACATCCGTGTATCTCCCTCCCTCCCTCCTTCCACTCTATCTAAAATCAATGGAAAAATATCCTCGGGTGAGGATTAACAACAAGAAGAGGCAAAGGGTGGCTGGGTGTTGTGGGTGTCTCTCCGATCTCCCTGCCTTTGGTGAGCAGGGCAGGGCTGGGGCAGAGGCCCCCTTCCCGGGGCCTACAAAGGCGCGTGAGGAATCGGAAGAGGCCAGTGCAGCCTGGGGAAGGTGCCAACCCCAGCCAGGGTCAGAGAGCCCCCGATTCAAATCCACATCTGCCACCACACGCTGAGGGGCCCTGAGCCAACCACTGGCCCCTGCCAGCCTCCGCCTCCTCCTTCCCAATCAGGAGTCAAAATTCATAAAAATATCTAATCTTGCTCGGCCGGCGTGGCTCAGTGGTTGAGCAGTGACCTATGAACCAAGAGATCACGGTTCGATTCCCGGTCAGGGCACATGCCCAGGTTGTGGGCTCAATCCCTAGTGGGGGGTTTGCAGGAGGCAGCTGATCAATGATTCTCTCTCATTATTGATGTTTCTGTCTCTCTCTCCTTCTCCCTTCCTCTCTGAAATTGATAAAAATATATATTATTTTTAAAAGTCGAATCTTGTGCTTTGTGACCCTTCATAGGGTGGATATTGGGGCCAGTTTATTCATTTTCATATTTTTATATAGCGCATCATTTATTGAAAAAAAATTTATTACTCTCAGTGAGTTTTTGTAGCTTTTTAAAAATATAAAACCAGCACTTTGCCTTTTAGGCTTTTAGCTAGGCATTTAAAAATATATATTTTTTTATTGATTTCAGAGAGGAAGAGAGGGAAGAGACAGACATATCAATGATGAAAGGGAATCATCATTTGGCTGCCTCCTGCACACCCCCCACTGGGGACCGAACCGGCGACCCGGGCATGTGCCCTTGACCAGAATCGAACCTGGGATCCTTGAGTCTGCAGGCTGACGCTCTATCCACTGAGCCAAACTGGCTAGGGCTTAGCAAGGCATTTTTATTTCTTCTGTGTGGCCACTTTAAATGAGCAAAGCAGTGACACCCCAGCCCTCCAAGCTGGTGTTTGGAGAATAACGCCGGGGCCAGCTGTCCGGGTTCAAATCCTGGCAGGGCTCCATCATGTCTGTGTGACCCGGGACCCGAGACACTCAACATTCCCGAACATCAGGCGATAGAGGCGAGCTGACAACCCCCACACGGCACTCGGAACAGTCCCCAGCACAGCGTAAGCGCTCGGTCAATATTTGCTAGCCACCCACCATGATTACTCTTCACTATTATTCTCGACATTCCTTGTCAGTCTCTCTAATCCTGTTTGCTCTGAACAACGCTCTGGCTGCCCTTTAAAACTGCCCTGGAAGCTTATTAAAAATGCCAAATACCCCGCCACACCCCCCGAGAGCCTGGGTGTAATAGGTTGGAGTGGGACTCGGGTGTTGGTATTTAAATAAAAAAAAAATTCCCCAGGTGATCCTAATGTGAAGGCAGGGTTAGGAACCGCTGCCCTCGTCCGTCTGTTTGCTGTGAAGATTACATAACGTGAGAGACATGAAATGCTTTGTTAACAGAGACTGCCCTGCCACAGTCCACCTCGCTATGGCCAATCCTGTCTTTCAGTTTGTTTGTTTGCTAATCCTCACCTGAGGATATTTTTTCCATTGATTTTTTAAAAAAATATATTTTTAGCCCTAGCTGGTTTGGCTCAGTGGATAGTGTGTCAGCCTGCAGACTCAAGGGTCCCAGGTTGGATTCCTCGTCAAGGGCATGTACCTTAGTTGTGGGTATATCCCCAGTAGGAGGTGTGCAGGAGGCAGCTGATCGATGTTTCTCTCTCATTGATGTTTCTAACTCTCTATCCCTCTCCCTTCCTCTCTGAAATCAATAAAATATATTTAAAATATATATATATATTGATTTCAGAGAGGAAGGGAGAGGAAGAGAGAGATAGAAACATCAATGATGAGAGAGAATCATTGATCGGCTGCCTCCCGCATGCCCCCTATTGGGGATCGAGCCCGCAACCCCGGGCATGTGCCCTGACTGGGAATCAAACCCTGACCTCTTGGTTCATAGGTTGACACTCAACCACTGAGCCACACCAGCTGGGCTCCATTGATTTTTAGAGAGAGTTGAAGGGAGAGAGAGGAAACATCGATGTGAGAGAGACACATCAGTGGGTTGCTTCTTGCACGCACCCCGACAGGGGATCGAACCTACCACCCAGGTACGCACCCTTGACTGGGAATCAAAACCTGGGCCTTTTGGTGCGCCAGGTGAAGCTCTAACCACTGAGCCACCTCGGCCAGGGCTCCTTGATTGGGTCTTAATCTCAGAGGCAACCTGGCAAAATGGTAGAGCCTGTAGCTGGACCGCTCAGGTCCACCGTGTCCAACTGGGTGGCCTTGGTCACGGAACTTGACCTTTCTGTGCCTCAGTTTCTTTATCCATAAATGCTTTAAAATTGTGAAGACGTATTGAGACAATATGCATGTTTTTATGTAAGCTGTGTGTGTTCATCAGTTTTTATCTCCTCGAAGTAATGTATTATGTTTACAATCTGCTACCCTAATTTTTTTTCAGCCACCGCCATGAGATAATATATTTTAGAGAGCCTCATATATGCTTAATAAATGATAGTTTATGCCCAGCCGGTGTTGCTTAGTGGTTGAGTGTCGACCCATGAACCTAGGGATTCTGGTTCCATTCCCCGGCGTGGGCTTGCAGGAGGCAGCCAATCCACGATTCTCTCTCATCATTGATATTTTATTTTCTTTTTTTAAAAAATATATTTTATTGACTTTAGAGAAGAAGGGAGAGGGAGAGAGAGATAGAAACATCAATGATGAGAGAGAATCATCGATTGGCTGCCTCCTGCACACCCCCTCCTGGGGATCAAGCCTGCAACCCAGGCATGTGCCCTTGGCCGGAATTGAACCCAGGACCCTTCAGTCCACAGGCCAACGCTCTATCCATTGAGCCAAACCAGCTAGGGCTCATCATTGATATTTCTATCGCTCCCTCTCTCTTCCTAAATAAATAAATAAATGTTAGCTTGTATTGTATTAAATTTCTCTGGGCCTCGGTTTCCTTTTAGATAAAATGGGGACAATGGGGACAATAACAGACTCTACCCGGGTGAAGAAGAGGAGATGAATTCATGTAGGGCAGACACTCAGTGTTTTTCCATACTCAGTGGTTCTAGCTATCATTACAGACCCACTTCCCTTTCTCGGAGCACGCTGGGTGACCACTCCAGGGGAGAATTCAGAATTCTTTCTACTTTAGGGAAATAATAAGATACGTCTGCCATACAATATCCTGGGGCACCCCCACTGGGGTCCGAGGCAGTCCTGGTAACCCCAATAATTTATAATTTGGCAACTAAGTGTGGGCATGGTCCCAGGGCATGGCATAAAGATTATGAACAGCCAGCCCCACGTTCATTCAAGGCAGGGCGCTGCCGCCAGCTCCCGCCCCGAGCCATGCCCCGCCAGGCAGGGGGCACTCACGTAGATGAGGCCGGAGTAGTAGCGCTCGCGGAGGTTGTGCAGCACCGAGGCCTCGTTGAGGCAGGTCAGCTCGGCCATGTCCTCGGCTTTGCTGAACTTGGGCGGGTTCATGCGCTGGACCTGGTCCCGCGGCAGCCGCAGCCGCCGTCCGCTCTCCGCCAGCTCCACCTCGGCCTCTTCCTCGCCCTCATCTCGCAGCACCGCCGCCTCAAACCCGTGCAGCTCTGAAGGCACCCACACCAGGCGCCGCGCGGTCCACTCCGGGGAGGTGGCCAAGCCCCCAGGCCCGACACCCAAGCTTGGCCCATGGGCTGTGAACAGGTAGGGCTGGGCCGCCTCGGGCACCGGGCCCGTCCTGGGGGGCGCCTTCCGCCCGGGCACCGTCATGGTCACTGCTGCCATGGTCTGCAGGGGAAGAGAAGAGGATGGAGGTCATGTGGGGCTCCAACCCCCCCCAAACCTTCCCCCAGGCAGTCCCCACTGTCTTTCTTCACCGGACCTCTTTTTATACTTCTGTAAAATGGGTCCACAGACCTCTTAGTTCATTTATTCACCTCTTCATTCATTCATTCATTCATTCATTCATTCATTCATGTATTCAATAATTATAGAATAAGTCAGCCTGTGAGCCAGGCACTGTTCAAGACTCTGGTCATGTGGCAACGAACATGCCAGAAAAAGACCCCTGACTTTATAAGGCGTTTTCATTCTAGCCCTGAGCTGTCCAATACGCAGCCACCGCACCATGTGGCTACTGGGCACATGAAATGCGGCAAGTGGGACTGAGGAAATAAATTTTTAATTGTATTCAACTTTAATTAAATTTAAATATAAATAGCCCCATGTGGCTACGGGGCACTTGAAATGGAGAATCCAAACGGAGATGGGGTTCTAAGTATACACCATATACACCAGATTCCTAGCTGATGACACACTGCAATAATATTTTGGACATATTGAGTATTAAGAAATATATCTTTAACATTAATTTTTACTTAAAAAAAATTCCTCACCCAAGCCCTGGCCCATGTGACTCAGTGGTTACCAGAGGGTCCTGGGTTCGAATCCCAGTCAGGGCACGTACTTGGGTTGCAGGTCTAATCCCCGCCCCAAGTCGAAGTGGGATGGGGAGGCAACCAATTGGTGTGTCTCTGTCACATCGATGCTTCTCTCTCTCCCTCTCTCTCCCCCTCCTGGCTCCCTTCCACTCTCTCTAAAAATCAATGGGGGTGGGATCCTCCCCCAAGATATGTTTATTGATTTTTAGAGAGAGGAAAGGAGATAGGAAGAGAGAGAGAGAGAGAAGAAACATTGATCGGTTGAATCCAAAACCTGGGTATGTCTTCTGACCGGGAATAGAACCTGCCACTTCTCAGTGTACGGGACAATCCCTCAACCAACTGAACCGCCTGGTCAGGGCTAACATTAATTTTTAGTTTTAAAAAAAGTTTAATGATGCTACTAGAAAATTTTAAATTATACATTTGGCTTGCATTATGTTTCTATTGAATGGTGCTGCTGCAATCCCAGGAGACAGATAAAAAGATAAATAATTATATAGTATGTTAAATAATGAGAAATGCCCAGGGGGAAATAAGGCAGGGAACGGTGGATGCTAGGATTGAGAGGTGTAGCAGTTTTTAATTGGAAGAGAGGCCAGGGCAGGTCTCTCTGATGTGGCATTTGAACATAGACCTCAGGGGGAATGAAGGGAGCAAGTCATGGGAATGTCAGGAGGAAAGCCTATCAGGCTGGGAGAGCAGCCCGTGCAAAGGCCCTGGGGCAGGAGTGGACCTGTATGTCTGGCATTGCAAGAGGCCAGGGAGGCTGGAGTCTAGTAATGGAGGGGGAGAGGGTGGTAGGTGAGGTAAGACTGGGGGAGAAGCAGGCCAGGGCAGGTCATGATGAAGAACTTGACCTCTTAGCTGGGAGCCCCGGAAGGGTGTCAATCTGATGTCTGTGTCTCAGGTACCCAGACTACACCTTGGTCTGCCCCATGACTGCAGAACAGACTCGAAACTCCACCTCAGTTAACAGCGCCTTCCTTCTCTGTCCAATGGGGAGACTGGCCCCATTCATTCCCTAGGCCAGTGGCCGGCAAACTGCGGCTCGCGAGCCACATGCGGCTCTTTGGCCCCTTGAGTGTGGCTCTTCCACAAAATGCCACGTGCGGGCGCGCACGTACAGTGCGACTGAAACTTGGTGGCCCATGCGCAGAAGTCGGAATTTCGTGGAAGAGCCACACTCAAGGGCCAAAGAGCCGGACGACAGTCGAGAACTGAAGTACCACAGGATTACAGAACTAAGCATCATTAGTCAACCCCCCCCCAAGCGCTCGTGCGAGCGAGCCGGAACACCCCCTCCAGGACGAGGCGCCCAAAGACAGAAGGCCCAGCGAGCCATGCACCGTCCCAGAAGCAGGGCCACTGACCCTGGTCTAGGAATCGAAGCAGGGAGCGTGCTTTTAATGGTCATCAGAGTGATAGCACATTTTCTCCATTACTTGGACGCCGCAACGTAAGAGGACTCAATACAGGGTTGCTAATCAATAAGTCCGGGCCACGTACTTCTGCAAACTGACGAGAGCCCCACGGGTCGCGAGCAAGAAGCAATAAGTGCCACTGTTCTTTCTCTACAAGCACGAAGTGTCCTCGATCACCACGGGTATGAAGCCCACTTGGGACCCCCTGCTCCCC